CAAGAGAGAGCATGGGGACAGAAACAAGAAACATATAGCTTTCTCACGAAGTATACCGAATGGACTTGATTCAAACCGGACGACAGACGCGGTATGAAGGTGGGAATGGGTAGTGGGCTATCTACTTTCTGTCGTCTTCATTGAGCCACCTGAAATGTAGGCAAGTTGTGCAACAAAACTCCGCTATGTTGGGCAACCCACGGTGGCGCACCGTCCTCTCTTGTCAGTCTGACCTCATGAGGTCGCGTTTTTGTTGCATGCTATGATGTCTGGAAGGTATTGATTGATTGATCAATGGTATTGATTCAATTGGTTCCGAAATGCGCTCGGAACGGGTGTATACTTTCCTTGTTCCGAGAACACATTTTTCCCCACGAGCGTCCCGCGCACTCACAGACTGCCCTCCTACCTGCCCCGCCCCGCGCGCCCCGCCGACTATAGCACCCATTAAGTCGAGGGTGAATAACTCCTGAATTGGGTGTACAAATTTCAAGAATTGAATTTGAATTAGCTTGAACTGGCTTGAATTGAATTTGAATTGGACTGAATTGGTTGAATTGGTTTTGAATTGGTTTGAATTATTGCGATTTTTGTTACTGATTTAGCGTGGATTGGCTTGAATTGGCTTGAATTGACTTGAATTGAATGTACATTGTCTTGAATTGGACTGAATTAGTTTTGAATTTGATTGAATTAAATTGAATTGGCATGAATTAGTTTGAATTGGGCAGAATTAGGGGTGTACAATTGGCAGGGGAGTTATCCACCCCTCGCATTAAGTAATAACCATTCGGACCACCGACAAATATGACGCCGGCTCGCCCGAAGATCGATGTCATCGCGGGACGGTGTCAACAGGACTGTTGGAGTAGGCATATTAGCCCTCACGCACACACACACACCTCAGACACTGTAATTTGGGGGTGTCTCGAATGGTGTCAGAATTTTGTTTTTTACTCGTCCTCATTAACGTTTCTAGTTTTTACTATATTCGGAAAGACTCCAAAGTTGAATCGTGCGTCATGTCGCGACGACGAAGCGTGAAGCGTGAATGGCCCCCTGAGCCAATTTTCATTATTTGCGTCGATTGTACACTCGATACTACCGTAAAACCCAGGGTTAGCAAAACATTTGGCGCTAGTGCCTGCAATCGGTGGGTAGGCTGTCCAGCCGGACAGGGGAGTGCGGTGGTGGTGTGGCCTATCGCCAGGCGCCGGCGCCAGCGCCTGGCGATCGCTGGACAGGCCACAAGGCCAGTATATGTGCAACACTGCCAAACCACTGGTGGGCCAACATAACGACCTGAGTCCAAAAGAAAATAGTCGATATTTTTTCGGTCTAGTTTTATAAAATCTAGTTTTTGCACCGGAATAACTTGAAACCTTTTTAGACAGTCCCTTGTGGTCTGTCTCTACCCGAAGGTAAAAGTTTCCAGTTTTGATAAAGATGGCCGATTAACGTTCCTGTTATGTGATAAGCCGATTGTTTCCAGTTTTGATAAAGATGGCCGATTAACGTTCCAGTTATATGATAAGCCGATTGTTTCCAGTTTTGATAAAGATGGCCGATTAACGTTCCAGTTATGATAAGCCGATTGTTTCCAGTTTTGATAAAGATGGCCGATTAACGTTCCAGTTATGATATGCCGATTGACGTTCATTATATAGATTCTCTGTGGGGGAGTTTTCTCCGTCCGTTCTGTTCGTCCCCGGTAGCAGTCCGCTGTCATCGCCCTGGTTGTGTTATGAACACAGCGCCCTTATCCCTTGCTTCGCGCCGAGCCAGGGTATGGGCCAGCCCACTTGAGCCTCTCGCAGCGCTGCTCCTCGCGCGCCCCGCGCCACATGGCCCATCCACTTGACAAGTGATCCCTAGCCTTAAATTTTAAATTTGAACCACAGCGCTCTGAAATATGAAATGTGCTTGTTTTCGGGCACCCAGAAATTACGAATCCAGCAAAATTTGAATGGTGATTCTAGCATAACGGGGTAAGGTGAAAGCATCCCGTTCTGATAAAGGTTGCCGTTGCCGGATATTGCCGATTAACGTTCCGGTTTTGATAAGAAGATTTTCATTTTGATGCCCTATTGAATTTAAAGATACAAACCTTAGCGCCTGTATATTTTGAATTTGCTTTTGGAGCTGGACTGTCTCGTTACCGGCCGGCAGGCCAGTTTTTTTTTTGTACTTACGTCGTTATTTTGGCCCACCAGTGAAACAGGTCACCAATTATAATGTAAAATTAATCAGACTTGCGGTGGCGTTGAGAGAAGGGGAGAGGGGTTGAAGGCGGAAATAATCTATGACAACTCCTATCCACCAGGGGCTACTAGTCATTTTTTTGTCCATGATATTGCACCTTTCGCGTTAGTGCGAAAAATGAATCGCCGAAAGTCTAAGGGGCCAGGGAACCCTAAGTCAACTCGCAAGGTCACGTAAACACGAAAATCTCGATGAATTAAGTCAGCGAAGAGAATCTTCCGACCCGTCGTCCGAATCTCACACAGTATCATGGAGGTTGGTGCTGTGCTGGGCCTCGTCCTCGTGGCCGCGGGGGGTTGAGGGGTGATGTCGTCCCGTGCCCTGCGTCCAGCTTGGCGCCACCCCGTCGACTGGCGGCTCCGGTCAGAAGGCACCGCCGCACCCCGCTCCCGCCCCACCTCACCCTATCGTACCACGCCCCACCCCGGCACGGGCACTGCGGGGTAGGCAACCCGCTCGCACGCCTGCATGCCGTGCAGTATAACCAAAATAAAGGAAGGGGTCTGTGGACCACCCGCGTAAAATACTGAGGTGTGTTTCGGTACTTCGTCGTTTTCCCGTTCCACTGACGTCGCATTCGGGCCTTACCGTGGCCGTTGTATTGGTCAAATTCACGACGAGAATGCGACGAGAAAACGGCAACCCATGCAGCGCCGGCGCCGCTTTATCCCCGTCGTTTATTCGCTTAATCAATGGGCCTTCGAGCCAAATGATAGAGGTGCCACAGTCAGTGACAGAGAAGGGAGCTTCCCCTGAATGCTCGCATGCTCGCGCTCTATTCTGTCCATATTAGAGAAGTTGCACCGCATAGCCTGTTCTCTAGGCCTGGAGACGAAAACATCCACAGGTTCATTGAGAAGCATAGTCATTCCCCGAAAGACTTCAGTCTCGTAAGGCTCATTTGATCTGGGTAAGAAAAAAATTATCCAGAATCGCCATAGCTTCATCATAAGGGTCCGGTTGCGCAGCTGCTCCAGGCACCAAAGGTGGTTATTATGTTGGGTGATATCAATATCTCCCACGGCGTTGAAGAAAACATCTTGCACCTCAGGGCCGGCCTTCTCCAATAACCTAGCTCTCTTGAGTAGGGAGTCTCCTAATTCTTGTCTCCCGAAAGCCCAAATTTGGAAAGATCTCTTCCATTTAGTCCATTTTGGCCCCGCTGACAGTGGATCGTCTTGAAATTTAAATGGGGCAAAGGCAGAACTATTATTACCCTCCTGAGCCATGGCATTGTCCCGGCGTAGGGACCATCCATAAAGTACGTACGTCGTCGAAAGGGGGGGGGGGGTCACCGAAAACGGACGCTGATGGACGAGAGGGGGGGAGGGGCAATAGGTGGTCCGGACGTCCGATTTTAACTGTACAAAAACCGAGAAATTACGCGAAAATTGTGCTGTTTTGTCCGTTTTCCTCACAATATTTGCTCCCATTGTACCAGTAGACCAATTCCCCCTTCAAAATCATATTCTTTGTCACCACGTAAAGAAACTGATATTGTGAATTTGGGTGGCCAAGGTGGAAATGGACGTCCGAAAGGGGGGGGGGGTCTTCGAAAACGGACAGCAGAGTACAGGGG